GTTAGCGCTTGCTAAGCGCTTTGCGTTCATTGGATTATACTTTCAGATCTGTGCTGAAATAGAGCTATTCTTCTAGATCTATCCAATCAGCATAAAGCGCTTATTAAGCGCTAACTTCTGGAGAACACAGCCATTGCTAAAGCGGGAAGCACACACTCTTGCACAAAGACATAATGCAGAAGCATAAGAACACGAACCAATCAGAGTCTTTTATTTCTCTCTCCACAATGAAATTGAATCTTCTGATTGGTTCGTTTTATGCTTCTGCAATTGCATACAAACATGAAAACCGTTTAAACCAATGAGCATCAAACATTGAGTCGCTATATTGATTTACATTACATGCTTATTGGTTGAAGCCGGGAGCACACACTTTTGCATAAGTTCATAAGCATATGGATAACGAATTTGATTGGTCTATAAGCAAATGCACAAGGAAATGGACCAATCAAATTCGTTATGCATATGCTTATACAAAAGTGTGTGCTCCCCCGCTTTAGCAATATAGGAGCACTATATATATGGCGGAAGCGCAATTGGCGCTGGCCAATTACAAGAATCTTTCCTATAGGTTCTATTTTACAACTATCGGAATAGTATATTGGCAGGCAAAAATTACGCTTCCGCGTTTTCCGCTGCATGGGACAGTAGAAATACAGCTCGTGTCGATTCACGATTTCACCAACGTCGCTTAACTTTAAGTTCAGTTTGATTTGTTCTTTGTCTCTTTCGAACTGTTACTTCAGAAAGTAACAAAAAGAACAAATTAAGCTAGGCTTAAAGTTAACAACGTCGGTGAAACGGGGCCTAAGGGCATTGATAAAAACGAAAAGACTACAGGTAGTTGAAATCTTTTTTATTGACGTGTAAATACATTTCAGGATTCGGTAATTTACTGCGCGCCCCCGACCGGTGCCGTCTGGGTCGACGATTTGGATTCGCGCAAGGAGGCGCTGCGCCTTCGCTTGAGCTCCTCTTGGCGCCTGTTCTTCGCCTCCTTCTGCCTCTGCGCCAGCAACTTGGCGTACTCTGCCGCCTGCTCCTTGCGAGCCAAGCAGCGTTTCTTCTTCAGCGCCAATCTATGTCTTTTTCTCTGTAAGTAAAGCACATCTTTACGTTTACGAATACATTAGAGTCGAAAGAGAACAAATTTTGATGCAGCCACTTATGTACAACGCTTTGATCCCTTTTTTAACCTGGTGCATAATTTAACTAGTTTAATTTTAATTTCAGCACATTCAGGATGTACATTTGTCGAGATCTCTGTAAATTCTAAGGTAACGTACTTGAAGAACAATCGGAGTTATTAAACGCTGAATCTTCGGCGCCTTCAACCGTTCCTTCTTCCCCTCCTTTTGGATCGGTCGTTTTACCACGAACTGCCGAACGTCATCCTTCTTCGAGAGATTGAAGAGTTTGCGAATCTTGCTCGCCCTCTTCGGCCCCAGACGACGCGGCACGTTCAGGTCAGTCAATCCCGGGATTTCCTGCGGTTGATTTACATTATTGTAGGGAACTATCATAAACTATTGAACCGACTAAGGCCCGGTTTCACCAAACGTCGCTCAACTTTAATCTTGGTTTAATTCTTGTTTGTCTCTTTCTAAAGTAAAAGTTGAAAAGAGACAAAGAACGAATTAAGCTAAGCTTAATTAAAGTTAAACAACGTTGGCCTAAGGTCCGGTTCCGCCATCTCCGATTGACTCAATCGGCCGATTAAGTGTCAACCGTAACTGGTCAATTCTGCTTACAATAGATGCGACTGGTCGATTCCAACGGGACACTAAAATTTAATTGGCCGATTCAATTAACTCGAGATGGTGGAACCAGCCCCTAAGCCTTAGAAATTAGAATTAGTGCTTCACACTAGTTTCAAACAAATCTTAATCTACATTTCAATCTACGCTTGAAATTCAATTTGTTCTGTTTATATTTGAAACTTAGAAATACAACAAAATTTTTGTTCCGCCAGAAATTCAGGTTGAACTGACAAAAAAGTTAATATAAATGGAAAGATGTTCCGTTCGTACACTGAGAAAAAGCACAGCAACGTAGCAGTTTCCCAAATCAATAAACGAAATTTATCTCCCATGCGTATGATAGTATTTCAAGAAAATTGAATATCTCGAATACACCCTGAACAGCATGGGGTCTCTGGCGTTCAAGCATCTGAAAAGAAAAACATCGCGATCAATCAATTACCTGTTTGCCCTTCCTTATGATGACAAGCGCTAGTACGGACAAATTTGAGTCTACGATGCAACCACGAACTGATTTGCGCTTGCGCTCACCGTCTCGTCGCGGTCTGTAGCAGGAGTGTCCCTTGGAAAGCAACAAACGCACACGGCCTGCGCAAACGAACAATAATATCGCATCAAAAAACAGCTCCTTGGTATATTGAGTCATGAACAATGCGGTGTTTTCTGGAGATATATTTGAAACGAAACAAAAAATTTGACATTTTGATATTAATCCGAAAGCTATTTTCCATTACTGTTCACTTCTCACTTTGAATTTAAATTTTCAATTCTCTGCCAATAAAAATCTCTCCTGGTTTTCAGCTCGGACCTAAAACTCTGCATCCTTATTGGCTCTCACAAGCAATCCAGTAAGGAAAATAGTATCATGTGCCATTCGCTTAAGCTTCCTTTTACACCACAACACTTGTGGGATGAGCCGATATATACGGAGTCTTCCTGGCCTCTTTTACAGACTCAGGAGAACAGTGCTAAGATAGATTAAGGATAAACAAAAAGTTTATCAGGCATTTCGGGGAATTTTATGGGGGTTTTTGAAATTTTACCACGCATTTTGTATAACTACTAGTAAAATGTATGGTCAAGTTTCACAAAACTCGTAAAGGTCTTCAAAATACATCCACGTCCCACGATTACATAATTTTCAGGGTAAATTTTAAGAGAAAATTCTCCGTGTACAGTCGTCGGCAATGAATCGACTTGTTTCTCCACTCTAGCCGATCGGCGAACTATCGACGAGTGGGGGTGAACAATTCCCCTCGCACAAAACGATTCATTGCCGGTCAGTGTACGTATCAAGTGTATCGAGAGCCTACCATTTGTCAGGACACCCTGCTTCATGGGGAAACCCTGCTTGTCGTTACCCCCGGAGATGCGCACCACGTAGCCCTTCCACTCGTCTCCCAGTGCATCAGCCTCGACCTCGGCACCCATGCGCTTCTCATAGAACATCCTGAGCTTGTGCTCGTCCGAGATCTCGAACAGCTTCTGACATCCCGTCGCGGGATAAGACACGTTCAGCTGCAACGACCAAAGGCAAACGCATTAGATGGGCCGACACGTTCGAGGACTTCTGAATTGAAGCGACGTTGAGAGGTTAGAGTCCCTCAGTTTCCCTCACGGTGCACACAGCCACGGAAAAGGCCAATTTCGCGGTACGACGTTCTGTCACGTAGGTCGATCGTTAAAACAACGAGGGGTGGCATCGTAATCGCGTTGTACAGCGATCAACGCGGTGGAACGTCCGCATGTTTCACCTGATATCACCTGACGCCGACACTTATTTACGGTTGGAGTTACACGCGGAGAAACGCGGCCGCGTCGAATATGCGAGCATCCTCGCGTACCAGGAATCTTCGCGCGTCGAGAGAGATCGGTATCTTGCACGAGGGACGCGCGATCCTCGTGATTTTCGCGGATTCTTACCTTCATCGCGATGTGATCTGAACAGTGCCACGAGCCATGAACGAAAAAGAACCAAAAAGAACAACGGAGTGCGCGCTGCGGCCGGTGCTGCCGCAAATTCGACATGCGTCTCGCGCGCATGCGCGGCGCCCACCGGATGTCACGAGGATACTAATTGGCGGAACGGCGCGTGAAGTTTAAATAAACATAAATTTGTTGTCTAATCTTCGTAAAAGTAATCGATAATTATATCTAATGAATTATATCTAATTACTATCTATTAATTCGAGCTACTCGATTATATAATAACAGATA